TCATTTCTCGCCGAAAGTCTCCCTGTAGGGGGACAGGCCCGACAGAACGCTGGGCGCCCGAGGAGGAGCACGGCGAGGAGGCCTCTGCTGCTTCTGCTGATGCAGGCCACTGCGACTGTCGTCGCGAGTGCGACTACGATTGCGAGAACAGCAGAATTCTGCAACTGGATTCTCATCTGAATCTTAAGGGGAATGTGTGTTGTGTGTGTTGTGTGTGTTGTGTGCGTTGTGTGTGTGTTGTGTGTGTTGTGTGTATTGTGTGTGTGTGTTGTGTGTTGTGTGTGTTGTGTGCTGTGTGTGTTGTGTGTGTTGTGTGTGTTGTGTGTGTGTTGTATGTGTTGTGTGTGTTGTGTGTGTGTTGTGTGTGTGTGTTGTGTGTGTGTTGTGTGTGTTGCGTTGTGTTGTGTTGCGTGTGTGTGTGTGTGTTAAGGGGAATGCTTCCAGATATGCTCCTACACATCGCTGTTAGGTTGCTTTGCCGGGCTATTCTTTTTTCTTGTCCGTCCCCCGGGGCGCGCCCTCGCCGCCGCGGCGAGGGCCTCTCCCTCCGACTCTCCCCCGGGGCCCGGGCGCGGCCCTGCACACAGAGAGGCCCCGGCGCAGAGGCTGCGCCCGCGGGCCCACGCCCTCCCGGCACGCGGGCGAAGCCGGGGGGCGGAGCTGCCGTGCGCCAGTCTCGGCATGCGCCGTCGTCTTCATCGTCGTCGTCTTCCTCGTCCTCGTCCTCGTCGTCGTCGTCGTCGTCGTCGCCGTCGTCGTCGTCGTCGTCGTCGTCGCCGTCGTCGTCGTCGTCGTCGTCGTCGCCGTCGCCGTCGTCGCCGTCGCCGTCGTCGTCGTCGTCGTCGTCGTCAGCTTCGGGTGGTCCGAGGCCGTCAGGAAACAGGCGCGGCGGGACGAAAGGCCAGTCCCCAGTCACAACGGGAGCGCGTGGCCCTAAGGGCCCGCGTGCTCAAAGCACACAGTATCAGAATACAGTACATAGGCACACCAAGTAAGAGTTTGGCGCGCCAGCGGGTGTCCCACGATAATCTCTTATCTCCCGACGGGGGCCGCCGAGCCCCTACGTTGGGCACCTTGCGAGGCGGGTGCAGTCGGACCGATGTTTCAAGATCGAGGTCGTGGTTGTCGGATGCTCTTTTGGCACCCCGCAGAGGGCACGAGGGTACCCTCGGTTGTTCTGTGTGGCTTGGCCGGCGGAGGGCCTCATGTTCTTGAAGGATGCTCCTCTGGCCCAGGCCCGATTGGAGGCACACCAGGGAAGAGCCTGGCCCGCCAGCGGGTGTCCCACGATCGCATGTCTTATCTCCCGATGGGGCTGCAGCAGCTGGGGCCCGAGGACTGCGCCGCATGGGCGATGCGGCGCGGAGGATCCCGAGCCCGATCCTCTCTGGCCCGACGTCGCCGATGCGCTGCGATCGCGGACCCTGTCTGCTGTGGCCCCGTTGAGGCGACCTCCAGTCGTGAGGCATACGCCCCGCTGACTGGACGCGCACGACGTGCCCGGCCGGGGCGAGCTGGATTCGCAGGTCCGGAGGCTGACACCAACACCAAGATCGGCGTTGTGCCTTCACCGAGGGAAGAGGATCCCGATCTCGGTGGTGGTGGCAATATTCTGGCTTCCGAGGTGGCCAATATATTACCACCAACCCCGAAGTCTGGGATCGTCTTCCCCCTGTGGAGGCAACCCCCTGTGTTGGAGTTGGTGCCCATTTCCAGGCCTCCAATGGATGCACGCGTGTCCGCACGTCCTTCCAGTGCTCGGCCGCTTCTGCGGCCAACCCGGCCAGCCCTTTGCTGCACACTCTGCGTGTCCAGCGTGGGGCCTCTCTACCTTTTCCCAGCGCGGGCTCCGCGCGCGAGTGCCGCTGCGCGTGCGGCTCCCGGCCTCCTGGCAGCGCTCCGCCATGCTCGCGCCGCCCTCGCCGAGGGCCCCAGAGACGGACCCCCACCGCGAGCAGCAGACGCCGCGCGCCGCAAGGCGAGGTTTGCCCCCTCTGGCGCGGTGCGCCGAGAAGGCGAAGGCGACCCCCCCCCAGCGGCACTGGTGACTTGTTCACGAACACGCAGAGAAGGCAGGCCAGAGGGCAGCGCATCCACCGATCCTGGGACCAGGGTGAGCCCAGACAGGCCAGGTCGTCCACCCTGAGCCCCGATCTCGGGACCAGAGCCGGGGAGCCTGGACGCCAGGCGCTGTATGTTCGTCGTGGTGAGGACCCCCGGGCTCAAGTCGCTCAGGCTCAAATCGCCGAATATGGTACTTAAACTTTCTGCATGCTAGATATCCAGCGAGGCACTCGAGAAGGCGGTGTCGATTCCGAAGCGTCAATCAAGAAGTATGGTCAGACAAAACAATGGAGCGCAGCAGTGCAGTTGCTCCGCGAGCGAATTCAATCGGGCGTGAAACTTTCCGCGGGTCCATACATCGCAGCTGTCAGCGCATGCAGAAAAGGTGGACAATGGCAACTGGCACTGTCGCTGCTCAGTGAGATGTGGGAGTCGAAGGTGGAGCCCGACGTCATCTCTCCTACATGGCCAGTGGAAGCGCGTGCGAGAATGGTTCACGCCTCGTGTGCACAAAATCTCCCCTTTACGGCGCCACCACAGAGCCGAATCGCTCAGGCCGGTCCCAGAGGGGCCCCAGACCTTCCAAGAGCGCTCCAAGACGGCCTCAGTGGGTCCCGAGACGGCCCACGAGGGCCCGAAGCCTTCCGGGGGGGGCTCCACGACGATCCAAGAGGCCACAAAGACGCCCCAAGAGGGCCCCGAGCGCACGCCAAAGAGGCACAAATCGTCAAATTCCGATGGGAAAACGTATATTTTCAGCATGCCCGCCTTGTGTGCTCCTCAGCGGCCCAGGACACGCCAAGAGGCTTCCCAAATCGCCCCAAGAAGACGCCAGCGGCCCCTAAGAGGGCTCCAAGGCGGCCCACAAGAGCCCCAAGACGACGCCAGAGAGCCCTGAAACGGCCTCACAGAACCCCAAGACTGCCCCAAGAGAGCTCCGAGTGGGCCCCAAGAGGCTCCCAAGACGGCCTCAGGCAGCCTCAAGAAAGCTCTAAGACGGTCCAAGGCCTCCCGGACGCCCCGTGACTGCCCAAGAAGACCCCAAAACGTTCCAAAACGCTTCCAGAGCAGCCCAAAAAAGCCCTGGAAGAGGCTCGGGGGGACAGCCCGGGAACGGCCCCAGAGGCGCCAAACAAAAAATTCGAGAGAAAAGGCCCGCAGGAGGCCGCAAGACGGCCTAAGAGGGCCCCAAGAGGCCCCTAGGAGGCCGCAAGACAGCCAACGAGGCCCCAACAGGCCCCAGGAGCTCGAAAAGAAACCCCGAGAGGCCCACTAACCGTTCACACAGAGACGGCAGCGCCCGCCATCAGGCTTCGAAGAGGCAACCAGAAAAAAGTTACCAGAGCCCTCCGGGTGACTTTTTTCAAGGCCCCAGGTGCTTTCAAAATTGACAAGCGGCGAACCGTACACCGCAGACCCACCATAGCCGTCTGTGACGCTCCGAAGGCTGTCTAGGCGGAGGTAGAGCGGAAGGCGGACGAAGAGAAGGAAGCGGTCCTAGAGGGCCGCCGAGACGGCCCAAGACCGCTCGAAGACGCTCCAGACGAGCCGTGGCAAACGAAATCATTGTTTCTTCGACGGTTTCTGAAAGATTTCCACCTTCTCGCCATTTCGAGCGAAGACAGGCCCAATACGGCCTTTTCGAGCCAAGACTGGCCCAAGATGACGTGGACGAAGTCCACTAGTCTCTACTACATTGCAGGGCCCAGTGCGTGCCAGAAGGGCGCAGGCCCCAATGCACCGAAACCGCCCCGGGCTGGCCCCGGGCCGCCCCAGGCCGCCCAGGCAGGCTCCAGGACACGCCGAGAGGGCCCCCCGAAGCCCCCAAGACGGCCCCGGAGAGCCCCGGCACGCTTAATGATGGGCCCAAGACGCCCGAGATTCGCCCCAGACGGCCCAAGAGGCGTCCAAGACGCCCGAAGAGGCCTCCCAAGAGGCCTCCCAAGAGGGCCCCGAGCGACAGAAATCGTCGATTTCTGTTGTGTTTTTCGATGTTTTCGGCATCCTCGCCTCTTCGGCTTCCCGACGCTCCAAGACGGCCCAAGAAGTCTCCCAGACCGCTCCAAGACGGCCGAAGAGGACCCCAAGAGAGCCCCAAGACGGGCCAGGAGGGCCCCAAGACGGTCCCAAGACGCCCCAGGACGGCCCCAGGACGGCCCAGGAGGCGCCCAAGACGGCCCAAGAGGCACCCAAGACGGCCCCAGGAGCGGCCCAAGACGGCCCAAGACAGCCCAAGAGGCGCCGAGGCGGGCCTCAGACGGCCCCAAGACTGCCCAAGAGGCACCCAAGACGGCCCGAGAGGGCCCTAAGAGCCCCCCCAGGAGGCCCAAAAGAAGGCCGAAGAGGCTCCGCAACGGCCCCCACGAAGCCTTCAGTGGCTTCAGAATTCCCTCCAGGAGCGGGGGAGCGGACGAGAGGCGACAGGCATATCGCAGGCAAAAACGCCCCAAGAGATCCCCAAACGGCCCCCACGAAGCCCTAAGTGGCCTCAGAATTGCTTCCAGGAGGGGGGGAGCGGACGAGAGGCGACCGGCATATCGAAGGCACAAAAGAACAATGTTGGACGCTCCGAGGGCCTTCGATGTTTCTCTGTTGGGGAGAGTCGTCGTAGGATCGACGATTGCCGACCGAGGGCATGGAGAATCGAGCGAAAGAGGAGGAGAAGGTGGAAGAGGAGGAGGAGAAGGAGGAGGAGGAGGAGGAGGGGCCTGGCGCTGCACTGCGAGATGTGGAAAGCCAAGCTGGAGCCCGACGCCATCATGATTGCCTTTCGGCCCTGCAGCCGCACCCCCCCGCGCTTGCCCAGAGATCCCTCGCCACGTCGAGCTGATGTCGTGGACGGAGTCCACAGGTCTGCCCTAGTCAGCTACAGCGCTGGGATCAGCGCGTGCGAGAAGGGTGAGCAGTGGCAGCGGGCTTTGGCGCTGCTCAGCGAGATGCGGGATGCGCAGCTGCAGCCCGACGTCATCTCTACTACATTGCAGGAGCACGTGCGTGCGGGAACGGTCCGGAAGAGCCTGGGGGCTCTCGGCACCCCAGCGGCCCCAGGACGGCTCCGAGACGCTCCGGAGGCCGCCCCGGAGGCCGCCCCGACGGCCCAACGACGGCTCCGAGCCGCTCAAGATGCCCCGAAGGCGGCCCAAGAGGGCCCCGAAACGAGCAATGATGCGGCCAAGACGCCCAAGATTGGCCCAAGACGGCCCAAGAGCTCCCCAAGACGGCAAAATAGGCCTCCCAAGAGGGAGAGCCCCGAGAGGCCAAAATCGTGGATTTCCAAAGGTTTTTCCGAGGTTTTTTGCTTGCTCGCTTTTTCGTTTTCCCGACGCTCCGAACCCCCCCAGAGGCATCCAAGACCGCTCCAAGACGGTCGAAGAGGTCCCCAAGAGGACCCCAAGACGGTCCAAGGCGAGCCCAGGACGGCCCCAGAAGGGGGCCCCAAGACAGCCCAAGGGGCGCGATAGACGGGCCCAGAGAGGCCCAAGATGCCCCCAGGAGCCCAAAAGAGGTCCCCAAGAGGTCCCACGGGGCTTCAAAATTGCCTCGAAGCGAGGGGGGGCGGACGAGGGGACCGCCCAGGAGAACCGCCAAACTCGAACCCGGAAAAATCCGGAAAAATGCGGGGACGCTACATGTATTCTTCCATAGACCATGCAGGGCACAAAGCGTCCCCAGAACGACCACAAAAAAAATCATGAACCCAAATGAACGGCCCCCAGGACGCTAGCCGCAGCACGTCGCCCGATTCGAACGCCGGAAACACAGGAGGAAGCGCCCCCAGAAGAATCTGGACAAATACGGGGACGCTAAATTAGCGCATCTTCACGCTTCGCATGCCCCACATGCCTTGACACAAACAAACGCCAGACGGCGACGACGACGACGACGACGACGACGACGCAGACGACGACGACGACGACAGGAGTCGCCCACCAAGACCTTTGCAGATCTTTCGCTCTGCGAGCGCTCCTTACCATCGCGAAGCCATCTGGGGGCCATGCTGAGCGCCTCTGAGCCCCTCCTGGTGCTCGCTTGGGGCCCTTCTAGCTTCTTGAGGCGTTCTGGCCGCCCTCCCGGATGCCTTTGGGCCATTGCATCCGTCTTCGGCCCCTCGGACCTGTCCTGGAAAGACAGCATCACGAGAGCCCCAACCCCCACCCAAGCGCCTGCCCTCAGACTTGGAAGAGCGGCTAAACGTTTGCCTTTTGAGAAGGGACGCAGTAGGATCAAACATTGACGACCGAGGTGCCAATGGCCCACTGACAAGACAGTATGTGAATTCAAAACACCTTGGAACGCAACTCGGTGAATTCGAAGGCCGACAGACCCCGAAACAACGCCCCCAGAAAAATCTGGAAAAATGCGGGGACGCTGCATTTACAGTTCCACGGACGTCGCAGGGCACGAAGCGTCCCCAGAAAAAGCAACACAATAATCGCGAACCCCAACGAACGGCTCCCAGTCGATAGCCGCAGCACGTCGACCGATTCGAAGGCCGGCAACACAGGAAAAAACGCCCCCAGAAAAATCAAGAAAAATGCGGGGACGCCGAATGACCACATCCACACGCTTCGCGTGCCCCACCAGCCCCGCCACAACCAATCCCCAGACCACGACGACGACGCCGACAACGACGACGACTGGAGTCGCCCACCAAGATGTTTGCAGATCTTTCGCGCTGCGAGCGAGCGCCCCCTACGGCGGCAAATTCCTTGCCAGCACCCCACTGTCGGAGACGGCCCAACGGGCTGCCTCCAAAAGCCCAATTACGAGGAGCGGTGAGAACACCTGTCGGTCGCTCACAGTGGCACGCCGCGCGACACACACGTCTCTTTCACAGATTCACGGTCACAGCAATCTCTTATGCCAATGACGGCGCCGGGGTTGCGGCGCACTCTACACGTCCGCGCGACATGCTCTTCCATCGCGCATTATGGCTCAGCAGACTGGGCTTTCCGGCCACGACAGGATGCGGCGTCGCCCAGCTTCCTCTGGCCCCGCCGCGCGCCATGAAGCCAGGATCACCCGATTTGCTGCGTCTTCAGAGAAGCTCAAACAATGGCACGCGACCAATGGCCGTTGGCCAAGCAAGCGAGTTAACAAGGGGCCTGATAGGACCTTGGCCGCGTGGATCACGACGCAGCGACGGCACCATCACCTCGACGCTCTCCCACCCGAGTGCGCCGCGCAGCTGGATCGGTGGCCCCCTCGGAGTTGGGCCCCTGACACAGTCCCAGATTTCGATTCTTCCCTTGCCCGGCTCAAACAGTGGCACGACAGCAAGGGGCGCTTTCCGCAACGAACGGGATCGGGAGAAGAGAACACTTTGGCGCGGTGGGTGAACGACCAGCGAAGACGCCATCAACGCAAGAGCCCCCCTCCCGACTGCTCTGCAAAGCTCAAGCAGCGGCCGCCTTGGAGCTGGAACGCTCGGGACGCGCCCTGGAATGCAACTCTTGCTGACTTAGCCCAATGGCTCCAGGGCCACGGCAACCGGCGCCCGCAAAGAACGAACCACGCATGCCGACGCGCTTGCCCAGGCTGCCGGCCACGCTGCACAGAGACCCCTTCGCTTTCTCACGACTTTGCCACCCACGGGGGCCCCGCCCGCCATCGTCGCGCGACCTGCCCCCCCCCATTTTCCCCTTCCCCCCCCATGGCCTCTAGTTTCTCCGCGCGCGCAGCAGACCCGCAACCCGAATTGGCGCATCGGACACCCACGCTTGAGCTTCGCCTCGCCAACTTTGTCGACCTTGAGCGACGTCGACTCGGACACGGGAACACCTCTGAGAAACAACAACAACGCCACGACATTTTGCAGCGGCTGCCGGGCTGGGACTGGCGCGGCCACGACGTCTCCTCGGACGAAAATTACCAACGCCTGGAGGAGTGGCTCCAGGCACACGGCGGCGCGTACCCTTCCCGCATCGCCACGCCGTCTGGCCAGCCTGGTGAATCGGAGCTTGCTGCGTGGCTGACGAGAGCACGCGCTGCCCACGCTCGCCACAAGCCTGGGGAATGTCCTCCACAGCGCGCGCGACTGTCTGCTCTGCCCGGGTGGTCTTGGACACATCGCCATTGGCAGACGCGCGCCTGCATTGGACCCAGCCACCGCCGACCACTGCGGGAGAGCCGCTCTTTTTCAGCCGCGCAACGGCGTCCACTACTGCCGCATGCACAGGGACACGCTCGCCGACCCCAGTTGCAACCCGCGCCCGGACCAGGCGCCAGCGCCCACGCCACTAATTGCTGATCGTGGTTTCCGCCGCGCCGCTCCTAGGGGCAACCTCCCCATCAGCATGGCCCATGGTCGGGCCACCAGCTAAGCGACGGCGCCCCCGCGGGAAGCGGCCTGTCCCCCTCGCGGCGCCCACGCGCCCAGCCGCCGTCGCCTGCTCATGGGGCCATGGCGGCGTGCTCGCAGGCGTCACCTGGCTCGGCAGCGGCTGGTTCTGCCCGCGGCACGCCCGCCGCGTCCGCGGAGATCACTTGGCCGTGCCCCCACTTGCGGAACACGCGGGCACCGTTGTGGAACACCACATGTTGGCGGCCGCATGACAGACCAGCGCAGCACTTGCGGGTCGTGCAACTTCCCAGAGGAGCGCGTGGGATCAGCTCACGGCCGGCGCCAAGGCTACTTCAGCATCTGCTGCCAAGGGGGTGCTGCGCCGCACGCTGCCCCCCGACCTCAGCCACGCCCCCCCGACGTCGTTCTCCGGACCCTCACCAGCGCGACCCCCGCAGACAGGATGGCCGGATGGCCCGCGACCGCCTGAAGCAATGCAACAGTGCCTTGTCTTTCGTGTCGTACGGGGCCGACTGCTTCCACGAGCTCCGAGGAGGCGCAGGCCCGCCGGTGGTCAAGTGCAGCTAGCATAGTGCGCCCTCCCATCGACCAATCCGATCCGACCCCCGCGATCGCTGACTTGTCGCGACATCTTCCTCTCATCCGCGAGGTCGGCGTGATCGCCTCACTCCCCCGCTCGGGGCCGCCCTCCAGTGCTTCGCTCGCTGCTCAGGTCACGGGGTCGCGCACCACTTCTCCGGGGCGCACTCCCCGACCGAGACGCCCCACCCTCAGTGCGCTCAGCTCTACCTGCGCGACCATGCCGACGCCGTGCAGTTCCGCGCCGCGAACCCCATCCATGACCGAATCGATGCACGAGCCATGGGCGAGCTTCAAGACATGCTGAATGCCGTGAACCCCACGCGTCCGTCTATCGGGCCATGCGCGACGTGCTCGGGGCACGCGGCAGGCCCGAGGTGCACATGGCCATTCAGAGCGACCGAGATCATGACGCACGCAGGTACAACAAATCCCGTACGTACGAGCCATCCATCCTCTTCGCGGGCACCGACGGCAACTCGATTGGGCACCGGGACATTGCCGCATGGCCACGGGACGAAGCCCACGACGTGCACCGCCTCAACGACGCATGCGAGCACTTGGACCCTCTGGCATACCCACTCTTATTCCCCCACGGCGACCCCGGGTGGCATTCGGGCCCACACCTTCGCACTGCGCCCGGACACGCCCCCCGGAAACTGACCTGCTCGGCCTTCTATGCGCGCCGTCTCACGCTGCGGGACTACCACGGTGGCGACGACGCCGAGCAACCAGAGCCATGGCCCGCCACTAACGTGGCATGCCGCATTCTGCCGGCCTCTTGTTCCAGATGTGGGTCTGCGACGCGTGGAGTCGAGCCGAATCCCAAAGACTCCGGTGGATCCGCGACCACCAGTCCGACCTGCGCGCGGAGACGTACCAGGGAATCGTCGACGCTCTCTCAGAGAACACCAACCAAGCTGGAACTACCAAAGTTGGGACCCGCACCATTCTGCCAGCGACGTGCACTGGGAGCCCGCGCAACATGCTGCAGCACTACCTTGACGCCATGACCATCGTCAAACATTAGGGCAAACCAGACTACTTCGTCACTACGACGGCAAACC